CACAAAGTTTGTTGTTAAGTGTAAAGATTTCAAATTTTATCATATTCAAAAGCTTAAATTTGACTGTTAGTATCCTTCAATTAATTATTTTGGTTCTCAGTAACTGATAATTCTGTATTAACTAGATAAATGATGTTTAAACAAGAACTTCAAAAGCACATCAACATAATTTAATAGAACAACATTTATTAACTATCCCAACTGATGATTTAAATAGTGCTGATAAGTAGGCGATTCAATGATCGATACGTTTCATTCAACTAATTCTCAGCGATTTATCATAAATATTCATCCGAAACAATGTTATGTAATAATATGAGTACATCGAATGGCTGAGTTGATATGAAAATGCTCGGAATGGTCATTAACTTCAATGCTTTACGTTATTTATTTTGCCTTGATTCCTAGGCATCCTGAACTTCTCAATACGGCAACTTTGTATTTCCATATTACCGTATTTTCTCGAAAGCGTTTATTTGAGAGAGGCTTCTATCTTCCATGGCATTACCAATGAAAAATTTCATGCGCTACCTGAAGGAGATAAGTAAATTCAATAACTGAACCTAATCATAAGTTAAGAAAAAAAAGTTCAAATTCGAGAAAGGACCAATATTCAAGGAAACATAATAAGTTGTAATGTACTGATTCTAATTACTTCATTGATGGTCTCATCCGAATTGCAGTTCACTAAATAAAAATAAATGCCTATTATCATTGTATGCTGATAGCAGTAAGAATTGACTTATTGCCTTTACACTTTCTTATTTGACGTCATTCGTATGCAAGCACCCAGCACCAATGAAAGCGCAAGGAATTCTTAGATTAATTGATTTATGTTCAGCAACTTCTGAAGTTGTTCAGTGCGAGTGTTTGATTTGATTTCTATCCACGATTTCTTCTTGCCAACCTTCATACTTTCACTGCGGCCATTCTTTAGGAAATCACTGCGCAGTGTTGGCCATATTGATCAAGATGTACGAATATAATATGTATGGCTGACTGTGAGCTCTCTCGATAGTATAGCACGTGCTTAATCCGTAAACAATATCATTTTCAATTGTTGCAACTCATTAGCATTGTTCAAATATGCATAAAATTGAAAGCTGAAGATTCAGGTGGAATTGTTCAAGAGATACATTTGAAATCACATTCATTGCTCTTTCTCATCATTTCTTTCCGAAATACATCATTGCATTTCGGTGCTACTTTAAAATTGATTCAACGCTCAATAACTAAGTTATGCATGTGCACTTTCGTGCTTGAATTATCCAAACACTCCGAAGACTTCATAAAACTTGACAGCTGTCAATAACTTCGTTTTGAGTGATTTATTTTATTGATCCTTATCGCCATCTCTATAATACACACTTTAAGCGTTTTGTTTTTCAATCAAAATTCTCAATAGTCGCCAATCAGCACTATCTTAAAATTACTTAAAAGCGTTCAAAGTACGCAACTTTCCCAATCAGTTCAATTTCAGTGCTCGCTTTCGGCTTTTCGACAATTCTCTGTGAATACTCTCCTTAGCTTTATTCCTCTTCTGAGGATCATTTTTATGGCTTATTCGTAAAGCCGAAGTGTTCGCATCCAACTTTTATCTCTGCAATTCTTGATTCGGCAGAATCAGAAATCTGGAGTCAGACATTGCAAATTAAATGCATCATTTCATACGATCATGATCTTGCAAAATGAGGTTGGGGATTTCTAATGGTCTAGAATCGTCTGAATCCGCCAAAAGATAATCCTCAGAGAATCCATCGTTGCGAAGAATGTGTTGTGTTAGTGTTATGTGAGCTATGCAAAACTTCAACGTTAACATGATCAACTTCGTTCATTCAAAATGTTTCTACGGTTGAGAGTTCATTAGTCATATGTTCACATATTATATCGCCTAAAAATATTATGTATGTTCGATGGAACAATGAAATTTGGAGGGAGTGCATCAATCAATCAATCAGTCAATCAAGTTGCTGATTTTATTAACAAACTTGAAACATGACTGTAAAAAGATCCTCGAAATGATATCTCCATGAAGAATGCTCCTGAAATTAGCGCAACATGCATTGTGGCACAGCAAATGACATTGTTTTTTCGTAAACGCATCCATCATTCACACCAATTTCATTCGACTTTTCCCCATCAATTGCAAAACGAATTCGAAACCTTAAACGACCATCTTCACCTTAGAATATTACCAACATTATTCCTGGTAGATAAACGCGCTCAGTCTGAAAATTTGAATTTACAGTTGTAATGAATATTGCCCAGCAAATAAATCATTGGTATAGTATAAGTAGCAACAATAATGGTTTAGAAAGTGACAGCACCAATAATAATATAATGTGATAATAATAATAATAGTAATAATAATAACACTTCAAAGAGGCAATGTACTAACAATAAGTATCATCATCAACATACTCGAAATTTACATGCCCAGACGCCTGTGCAAGTTAGGTTCAGTTTACGTGTAATTCATACCTCCCTATTGTTTCGCAGACCAACGCTGCTAAAACTCCGATATTCTTAATTTATGCAGGCGATTTTTGGATTTGAATTATATTTAAAAAATTTCTAAATTGCAATAACACGTGTATGATTTTTTTTTGAGAGTATTAGGTATGGAATGTCAATCAATGAAGTACAAGGTATCTTTCGTACAAAAATTATCGAGCTTGCTTCAGAGACATGCGTGCATTCGAATGAATGCAATCATGCTGATCATTCGAAATTTGTTCAGGCCTTGAAATACGTCCAATAACACCTATCATTACTCATCGCAGTTTCCCTTATCATATGTTACCATCAATATCTTTTTAAACCATCATCACTACTGCACTCGATATTACCAAATGTGCAAAACTCAAGTCACGAGAAAAACGAGGAAACTTTTCTGATTTCTTTGAAATATCGTCAGAACTTGCACCTGGGAAGAGAATGAAAAATCATTTTGATTCATATTCATCCGAGAATGATTTTCAGATAACAGAAATTAATGCATACGAAAAGCATTCAACCACTGTCAGTGAGATTATTGGTTTCAGTCGCGATAAACGACGAAGCATGGATGATTTGATGAATTGTTCCACAGAACATTTTGATGCGTGTGAGTGATAACGGTTATTTTTATTTAGAGATAAACGTTTACTTTTGAAAACATATGAACGAAATCCGGGGTTTGGAATCCGTTTTGCGGACTCCTCGCTAACTCAGCTGCCACGTTCTCATGCTTTCCTCGTCCATGTTCTCCAGCTTTCCGCGAACAATAATGATCATTAAAATGGGAGCCAAAAAAGTGCTAAACTGCTGCTAGCTTTACTTGCTTGGCTCTTTTGAAATTGTACGTTCAGAAATTGAATTAATTTTTTGAAAGCAGGCAAAGTCGCCCGACAACATAAATCCTTTTCTAGAATTAGAGAATCTGGAGATTCGACCATTGTAAGAAACCGTCCTGCTTCTGGGCAAATCTACGGACATTTTTACTTTGAATATAGTGCTCATAACGTAGTTTATATAAAAATCAATGCATTGAAGTAAGGTGGACAATAACAATGATGTTTGAGAGAAGGTTGTAGGTACGGTGTTATTTCAAAAGGATTAATTTTTAGGTGATGGCACATTATGAAGACTGAAATCAAGAAAATAGTAAAGTGAACGCATTGGAAAATCTAATATTTACCTGAAACCAACCGTGAAATGTTGTTATCGTTTTGGACGTCATATACGATGATGTTTGAACTCCGGAGCCGAACGAAGACTTTCTTGGATTCTTCAAAAAAAACATCACAGCTGGCCGAAGCTGAGACCTCTGTACGGTATGATAGTTTTTTCCGGATCTGAATCGTTCCAGACCTGAAGTAGAGGAAATTTTGGAGCTGGACCCTGGGCTGAAGATTCGAAAAATGCTGAAGGTGGAGCGGAAGTTCAAAAAAATGCAGAGCTGGAGCCGTAATTTAAAAAGATATGGAGTCAGAGCTGGAGCTAGAACCACTATTCTCAAATGAATGAGTTAATGTCCATGCAATACAGTTCCTATTATTCATTTTTGGAAAACGAGGGCCTCCGATACTCCGTAAAATGTGCTTTCGACCCAGAGCGTTGTTCTTAGACCGTAATATATTCATCAGCATCGGTATCACATTGACAGTGAACCGTGAATTATTGAGCATAATATTACGCATATTTCACTCGTATGAGTGCGTGAGATTCATCGGTGATAAATCGTTATTGTGCATTGTTATTCACTGCTATTTACCTTTGTCAAACGTCATATCACTGTTGTTACTTATACCACGAAGGAATCATTTCAAACTTCAACCATTTTTGTGTCATTGAGGTTGCTTATTTTTCGTGTCTGATTTCGTCTGCTTCATCCTTTTTAATTCAGTTACATTTCGAAAATGAAAGGAGTAACTGTTGCTTAAAGACAGGAACATGCCTTCACAGTTATTGGTCTTTTCATGATAAAGATTTCACCGAAACCACACAATGCAATTGTCAGTGATGAATCTAAACTTAAAAAGATGAAATTTGACAAAAAGAGATGCGAATAATTTCAAAATCCGAAAAATTCAGTAATCAAATGACATCAAGAATATCATTTACTTTCAAATTGATGTAATTTGGTGATTGATGCTTTAAACGGAGCTATACTGAAATTGTCCCTGAAGAAGCGATGAATATAAGTGGAAGGAGACAAGTACAGATACAAAATATTTTAATAATTCGTCTGTGTTTTGTGTGGATATCATCAAAAGATTTTTGAGCAGCTCATCTCATCACTGCCACGCCTTACTTCTGGCACATGTAAGAGTAAAGCAAATGCGAAAAATAGTGTAATTGAAGATTGCTGCAAGCCGCCGCCTAACCACTATCTGTCCAGCCACCTATCTATCAATCCGCTAGGCGTATGCATATTGATTGAAGTGTGCGCTGCTCAGAGCTAGTTCAACAAAAAACCTTTTGGTGGCTCGAGAGCCTGGTTGGCAGCCAAGCCGAGAATGGCTAGTGCGACGTCTTCGGCTCTTACAAAAGTTATGCAGCAAAAAAGATCGGCAACCACTAATTCGGATGTACTTCACGGTGTACAAGCATGTACCTCAGGTGAAGGTTCAAGCACTAGTTCATTGCTGATTTCTAATCAACAACCTCCGGATTATCAACAGATCGTCCCTTCGCTTCGTTCTAATCAACAACAGATGCGTAAATGCATTTCAATTGATTTATTATCTGCGTCACAACGAGAAACCAATTTTCTGCGCATGATCGATAGAAAAGCGCCAATGCTATATGAACAAAATATTATCGAGAATGCCATTCGAAGGTACGAATGTTTTTGGCTACCAATGCAGGTATTACATATCTTTCTCCTTTCATTTCTTTTCACCTTCACTTATTTCATCTCATCGAATATATATTTCGTTTTGTTGATGAAAATCAAACACGATGGATCAGTTGCAGCCAGATTTCACAATCGATTATGACGAAACTGTCATGAACAATTCATCTTTTCAATTCATAACTTGTGCTCATTTTCAATGCAAAGTTATAATGACGTTAGCGATGCTTCGAAAAAACAACGCACTGACTGAACGAGCTGTCAGCTCGTTCGAATTTGTTTTCCTGCATTTTAGAGCTATTTTTATCCTTCATGGATTTGACGGTTATCATTTCGCTTTTTGAAACGAGAAGCAGCGCCTTTTTAGTCGCAAAAAACGAGATTGTTCGGTCGTCGATCAATGATCGAATGAAGTGAATGTTTAAAGTTGAGTTACATTTTCTGCTGTTTTCAATCTGTCTACTGTTGACTATAGCAGCCACGATATTGTAAACTATTCGCTTCTCATTGCGAGATTGTTAGATGATCGTTTGTAATGTGATAAGATTTTGTATAAAATAACATGTCGGAGTATTTGTTGAGGAATTCGCCAGTATCATGCAATTTCCACTTATTGACATTTCCATTGCATTTCACAGCCGTGTTTTTGAGGACAAATCAAAGTTGTTAAGGCGACCCGATAAATCCTGATCTTATCGCAGATTTTTTTCAGCACCTAATTGAGGTTTTAATTGGTAATCTACCAGCAATTATTCATAATTTATACATCAACCACATGCGAATACTTTAATATCACCGTATAACATTAAGTGGACTTTTGCATCGATTCTGGACTGCTTTTCCGCGCTGGCTTGAAATGAACAGTCCGCTTTTCAGTGGCATCCTTGCGAGTTATAGTAACAGGTAATTTAGTGACTGAGGGATATCAACCATCAACAGAGTATCAGGGTTTCTCTTTTGGTTGAACTGATCGTTTATTCAACGTCAAATCAAATTTTCGCGCTGATTCTAAATGTATAATTCATTCTTCCTATCATCTTTCTTTCTTGAGATATCCTCAGCTTCATGTTCTATCTTCTCGCAGTGTGAAAGCTACATACATTACCATAAGGACCTGGAGAATTTGTGCACCTTCTAGCGACTATTTTGGAAGAAGCGTATTTCAATTCAAAATTATAGAAGCTGCATCCACACAACAATTTGTATGACCACCAATATGTAGAGGAATGAATTACATATTCGGAATTGCCTGAAGTGCTTATTCGAAACCAGTAAGAATATTACTTTAAAGAGGGGATAAAATTCCAAACATTACGTTGATCAATAATACTACAAAGCTGTTTGATATCAAATCTCGGTAAAGAACCAATTCCGTATTTGAAATCAGCATAAGGAAGTGATTCAGAAACGGTTAAACGATATAGTCGGCAAAGAAAATTTTGAAATTGTCTTATTCAATAGTAATGGGACATTCAAATGTACTGCTTTTCATTACAATTTAATTAGGCATTTCTGACTTAAACTGCTTCATTTCATTTAGTTAATTCGCGTCCAAATCTGTCCAGATTTTTGTTTAAAGTCGTACTCAAAGAGCGTGATTGCTCTTCTCCTAAATTGTTAAATAATGCACCCAAACAATCCACGATATAGTTTTTGTTTTATGTAGTGGATATGACGAAACATAATAAATGCTAAATCAGACTCTCATTTGATTTTATCCAAACAAAAGAACTCTCGTATTTCCACAAACAACAAAATGCTGTTTGAGTTTCCATAGTTAAAACAAATCTAGATATACGAATTCTGAATTAATTCATAGTCAATAGCCTCAAACGAATACGGTTTTATTGTCACTCAAACAAAATGTATGTTCAGTGCGTGAAAGCTGATAAGACAGATCTTAATAAATGTTAAGCATTACACCATAACAAAACTATTATATTATATAAGCGAAAACAGAACCAAATCGAAAGATGCCCGAGTGCGTTGCGATTAGTAGCTGTAATTTGCATGGAGATTGCTCCATGTGAAAATAAGGAGCAAACTTGAATAACTATAATGAAATTTATCATACTGACAGAATGATGTATTTGCAATGCAAGTGATCATTCATGTTCAAAGCACTCCATTCTTTGCCTGATATTCACCATGCTCTCAAAAATATAACATCGACGAAAGCACTCATTACCAGTGATCGTTATACGTTCGTTTCAGTGTATTTTATTTCAGTTCGATTCATCAGCGTAACAATTTTAAAAAGAAGACGAACTTATGTAGTGAATACGACGAAACATAATTCCAACATCTGAATTTGTTGTTGCCTGACTATGAAGTAAACAGAGTACACCATAACAAAATTTATATTCATCATACAATCACTTTGCCGCTTACGTTTTTATTTGAACGTAATAAAACGTTTTCGTATAAGATAATCAGCAAACAATCATCTAGCAACAAATCACTACGAGATTTATTGTTCCTTTGTTCTGTCTGTTGTGAATAAATCCTCTCACGACATTTATAATTACAACAAATTACAGCGTAAATTTTCGGTGATGTTTAGTTCTATTTTTTGAAGACAACATTTTTGCTTTGAAAACTATAATATATCGACGAAAGCATTCATTAGTAGTGCTCATTATTATCATCACACAAAATTTTGAAAGTTTAATTTGTGACTCGGTTCAACATGCATTTCATGAAGTTTTTTGCTGTAGAAGGACATCGTGATTTCATTGAGAAAGCTTTTCGACTGCTTCGAAGAGTTGACTTTCACTCTTGCATCAAATCATTCTCATTAATTGCTCACATTTCTGTGAAGTTTGTCATAAGGTGCCTTTTGGGGGTGAAAAAATCAGCCGTTCATTCCATATTAACTTACTTTTATGATGGGGATCAAAAATTTAAAAAAAAAGAGGCTGAAATTCACTTAATGAACCGTCGCTAGAGACTTTTTGTTTGATTGACAATCATACTTATTCTACACGACACTGAATAACCGTGAACTCATTTTAATTTTGAACTTATTTTGACAAGCAGCATCTGAAAATTTGATTTGAATTTTGTCTTTTCGTTAATGACATCCAAAAAATGATTAGCTGTTAATTTAAGCGCATTACTGTACTGTGCTTTTTTCAGTTAAGTGACATGATCGATAATATGGACAAAGAAAAAATTATGCATGAAAAGTTACATTCGTATGAGATTTATAACACCCCAGGAAACTTACAGTGATGATACTGAAAAAGATTATTCACAATTAATTCCATCAAGTTCAAAATCCTCTTAAGTTTAACGCTGTTTTATTAGTTGCAATGGATTCATTACCACTAGAAATTTACCGGTTCCCTATTCGATCTGCTGTACATTTGCAAATGAATTGAGGACGGAGTGAAAGGAGAAAAGTTTCTTATGGTTGATTAGGTTGATTTATAGATGAACAAACGACAATGACATAACCAAAAGAACATTCTGGTGTGCTTCATGTCTACATTATAATACAATATTGTATAATCCATCCTGTTCGTTATCGCAAAAGAACATCTCATTTATGCTTATTTTTGATGCGTTATTTTGTTTGCCAAATATATAGTTTAATCGAAAATAACAAGCTCATATCAACATCAATATGATGCATTTTATAGGCATCTCGTCCCGACGTTAACAACATTCCACCGTTAGACGTTCATTGGGTATGGCATTGTCATATGCTTAGTCCCACTCACTATCAAGAGGTTTCTGCTATTTGAATCATTTTTACACCAGAAGCTAAACCATATCATATGGAACGTTCCTCGATATTTCGAACGCAGTCATGTAACTTAAGTGTGATGATGCTTGAATTCATCACCATTTGAGAAAACAAATTTGAATTTGCTAGTAAATTAACGATGCATCCGTTAGGTGTGTATTCTAAGATTCATACGGTAAGGTTTATTGTGGATTAATTCACCAGATGTTGAATGAAAATTTGAATAAGTAGAATTATTAACGCAATAATAATGGAAGGATTCAACTGGTTTATGAAAAAATATGATAAACTTTATGCAAAATATGTTTTTCTGGTTTAACACGAAATCAAGGTAGAAATTTCCTTGTTAAATTCGTCTTACGACAAATTGTAAGGAAAATCTGAGGCATAGTTTAGTATAATTACAGTGGAACCTCAGTCTTCGAATATGGTCATTTAAAGAATGATTTCACTCTCCAGATGAATGCTCGAATTTTTATTGAAATCAACATTCCAGTCACATGAAAGAGAATCGCTGAGAGAGACCACAGAATCAAGGTACAATCATATTGATGCGCGAAGACGTATAAGAGGAATTGTTGAGAGCAAGTTTGAAACAACAATGAGCATAAAGACAATGAACACTGAAAATGAAAAGGCGTTCTAACGGCGATTTTTAGTGGGTCCTCTCTGTAGGTCCTGTGGAAAGCAGTAAGGGAGCAGTAATGGGAATTCCACTCAGAATTAAATAAATTACTAGAGGTGTGATCATAAGATTGTTCTAGCATTCCGATTGTCCGAAACAGTTTGAAATCTGTACTGATCGTCATAAATTGATTTGCAGAATATCTCGGTTTGTGTCGTTGATCTAAGTATATTATCCGATATTCACATACGTCAACACCGCTTATGCTTTGTTCTCTGTTCAGCTGAGTGCCCTACTCTATGTGCCGTATCATGAATCCAAATTTTTATATTGTCCGAATCGAACGAGATGTTCAAAGACCGAGGTTTCACTATGCTAGAATACACTATTAATTAGGCGATGAATTCAAAGGTTTTACTTAGGTGTAAGCAAAAATTCGGTTAGAATGTTTTTGAAATTGGATGTTTTTTGCATGGCAAATGAGTAATAAGTGCATTAAGGATTGCGAGGCAATTTGTGGAACAGTTGTGGATCATAAACTGTTGAGTTCGGATGAGATTCAACAAAGATATGAGCAATCAGTAAGTGTATGGCAGAGTCATTGCGGCGATGAACCATATGATTTTCTTGCATCAATAGCAATCAATCATCCGCATTACCATCAGAAATCATCATACGATATTGCCGGCGCTGCACAACGACAGCGTAATTTCAATTATCAGGTTAGCTAGTAACAAGCTTGTTGGCATTGATTTTCAATGATAACTTACCTGCTTGACGACACTCTATTACACGATCATCTAACAGACAAATTTAATATTGATCAAGCGCTTGAGCCAAACACCTTATACACACATATCAAAACAAACAACAAGACAAGATTAGAAGTGTTGCAGCGGTACTTCGCTATTTTCAGTTGATTGTTCGCCATATTCGCGAAGGTTCGCGCCTCCCGTCCTCCCCGACGGGGAGGACAAGGAGCTCGCCGTTCCATTGGGGAGCGAAAGTGGACGAGGGGGATCCCCGAGAAAAAGTCAGAGAGCGGGTCGCCCGGGGGAGGGGTCACCGCGGGAAGAAAACCGGGCGGAGGGAGAGTCTCCGCAGAAAAGTCGAGGAGCAAATTGCGCGGGGGGAGCACCCCCCGCGTTCCTTGACGAACGCTGCTCACGATTTTGATACGAGTGCTCATCTCGTTAATCCTCCTCTTTCATAAGCTACCATTCACCACTGCAGTACATTTTTAAAATCTGATACACATCGGTGCACAAAATCGCAAATTCTGAGTAAAGTGGATCTTGCTTTAAATAACCAGCTTGAGCTATTTTCAAGTTCTTTATCAAGTGCTTTATGCAATTCTAAGCTACTGAAATTTATTTTCATGTTTTCGTAAACAATATTTTTTTTCTGAATATATACGATAAGCCAGTGAATAAAATGCCTAGACCACCCAATATGATAGTTCCAAAACCAATCGAAACTAAATAACAACAGCAAAAACTGTCAAAATTGCATCATTCCATTGTCAACGATTCACAAGCATTACATCCTTTCTCGGAATGGAGATAAGTTTGCCTTACCCATAGAAAGTTTGTTTATGAAATTTTTTACTGAAAAAAAAGCTTCATACTCAGTGAATACCGTCAGTACAAAATCTGTTTAACATGCATTTGTGCACGCTGATGAATAGTTCACGAAGCGTAAATATTTTCGATTTCATTTGTGCTATAAAAGGAGATCGTATTGCACCCATCGATCATAACCATTCACACTAAGTGAACCAACGCAAGGATAATTGAATACAGGCCAAATCCTAGCTGGATAACAGAATTCATTTTTTACGACTGTAACTGCGAATAGACGAGTTCACTCTGACTATAGCGCTTGACACTCATCAAATCAGCTTCGTTTTCACTCGCAACCAAATGGTCTACCAGTGTCATCAGTGAATGCAGTATTTTGAGCACATTATTTTTTTTT